CAGGGTCTTTCTTGTGCATCTGACAGTTGCACACTGTATTCATAATAAGGATGACATAAGAGGAAAAGATGCCTTTGAATTGAGGTTTTGGCAAAGAAAATATCATGTACTACCAAGTGCTTCCAAAGTACTCCTTAGAGGCAAGGATAATAAAATTTCCTCTAGCATGCTATCAGGAGAGACCAGTTCTTGGGGAAAACAATCATGCTGGGAAAGGTGGAATATCAGAGAAAGAGAGGAAGATCTTCAATTAGATTGACACAGTGACTGTAACAATGACTGAGATTGTGCGGATAACACAGGGCAAGGTTCAAATCTATTTTTCACAGGGTTCCTACGGGGTAACAGTCAACATGACAACACATAACAACAAACACTAATGAACTAGAACATTTTCTCATGAGTTTATTGGCAACCTGGGTATCTTCTTTAGGGAAATTTGTCACGTTCTCAGCCAACCTTTTCCCAGTACAACTTATTTTTTTAAATTCTTGATTATAGCTACCATGAGTGTTGATTGTGGGTCCAAGTAAGATTGAATAGTTGACAACTTCAATCATTAAAAAAACTCCCAAAATCCATGATACTGAATGAATAAGTACAAGATGCACTAAAAGCAATGGCAAAGATAAGGCCCCAGAAATTTATGGAATACCAACTAAGTTATGCCACCAGATGCAGTCCTGGATGTGTTCCCTGGGTATGTGAAGAAATTTGGAAGATAGCTACCAGGGCAACTGACTGAAATACATCCATATTTATTCTCATTCAAAGAAAAAAAAAGATAATAGAATGTTGGTGTTATCAAACAATATCATATGTAAGTAAAGTCTTGCTGAAAAATATTTTTAAAAATGGCTGGAACAGTGCATCAACAGAAAACTTCAAAAAATCAAACTGGATTCCTAAAGAAGTTGTGGAATAAAGTATATCCCTGTTACGTTAGACGGATCTTCATTGAAAGTAGAGAATACTAGAAAGCTGTTTACTTGTGTTTTGACTATATACACACATTTGACTATGTGGATCACAACAAATTATAGATAACATTGAGAAGCATAAGAATTTCAGAACACTTAATTGTGCTCATGTAAAACATAAACAAAGACCAAGAAACAGTTGTCTGACCAGAACAAGAGAAAAGCATCAGGAAAAGTGCGTACTGGGGTCGTATCCTTTCTCCATCCCTATTCAGTCTCTATGCAGAAGAAATAATTTGAGAAGTTGGACTATATGAAGAAGAATGTGGCTTCTAGATTGGAGGAAGTCTCCTCAACACCTTGCATTCTGCAGATGATACAACCTTGCTTGCACAAAGTGAAGAAGACAGATCAAAGACTACAGTCTTCTATGAGCTACCTCTCAACATTAAGAAAATGAAAATCCTCACCACTGGCAATCTATTGATGATAGATGGAGAAAAGATTTAAGGTGTCAACTACTTAATTTTACTTGGATTCACAATCAACACCTATTGTAGCAGCAGTGAAGAAGTTTAAAAAAAATGTGTTTCATTGGGAAAAATCTACTGGAAAGGACCTTTCCTAAGTGCTATAGAAGAATGGTATTGCTTAAAGACCAAAGTGAGCCAGATCCGACCCACAGCCTTTTCAAGTTCTTCCTCAGTATCTGAAAGTTGGGCAGTGAATAAAGACAAGAGAAGAACTGATACCTTTGAGTTATGGTAGTGGAGAAGAGTACTGAATCTCCCATGAACTTCCAAAAGAACAAACAAGCCTGTCTTTGAGAAGTGCAACCAGAGTGCTCATTGAAGTGAAGGATGACGGAACTTAATTTCACATCCTTTGGGAGGATGCTGTCAGGAGGAATAAGTCCCTTGCAAAAGACATCATGCTTGGATGGGTAGAGGGTCAGAGGAAGAGACCCTCAACAAGATGGCATGATACGCTTGACTGTAACTGTGGGCTCGAGCATATTGGAGGCAGTGAGGCTGGCACAGGACAGGACACGGTTCAGCTGCTGCTCACAATATGGACACTGATTTTAGTGTGATTATTTTCAATGAGCAAAGAGCTTTGGAAAGCAGTTCCAAGGAGGCCATCTCAACTGCCTTTCACATCCTGCTCCTCACCCTTTTAGAGGCTCCTGCCATTCTTTGGTTCTCCCTGTTGAGGTGGCCGTGGCTGGCTCTGAAGTATCTCTTGGCCTTCTGGGCCAGCTCTCTGAACTCAGCTCTATCCTGCTACGTCTGAATCCAAAACACTGTGCTTTTTCCTTGGACCAAGGCTGACCACCAGGTGAGCTAGCAGTGAGTCTGGCCTAACCTGGTGTGATGAGTGCTGGTGGCTACAGACTTAGACCCTGTCCATGCGTCCTGCTTCTGGAGTACTGATTTGTAGTAAGACTTCCACACCCTCAGCTCCAGCACCACCTCTGCCAGAAGGTCCAGAGGGAGAGAAAGAACTGAACTAAAAAAGGACTCTGAGCACATCATAGACCAATTTTCCTCAGTTACAACAGGGAACGTGCAATTGTAATTTTTATGTTGTGCCATGATGTGTTAAGTAAAAGATTAATAAGCTTGTCTTCTATTTTTTAACTGATATTATGGCAAAGTTATTTAAAGGATGGATGTCAGATGTTTGCACAATTTTAGAGCTAGCGAAAGGAACTAATTTCTGTGGATTTGCCTCTGCATTCATACCTGGTTTTAAATTATCTCTTTTTCATAAAAACACACACACATCCACCCACCCACACCACATCCAACCCCTCCTGACTCAATCCACGCTGCACTGTGGAGAGTCAGAATCCCTGAGTGGTTTAAGACAATGCCAACACTCTAATGCCAGACACGGAAAAGTTGAGTCTAAGTAAATAAATATGTTCCTCCCCAGACAATTAAGGATCCAGCAAATAAACACTGTCAGAGCAGTGAACTACTTCTCTGTCCACCTGGGAAAATGTTTCAGGTCCAGCCATTCAGCCTCAGTCCTAGTGGAGAAAAATATCAGTGGACCTTGGCTGTGAGATGGATGCGTCTGTGTGTGTGGCATCCGTCATAGTTATGAGAGTGAGAGTTATTTAAAATGTTATCCAAAAAACATGAATGATCACTAAGCAAAGAGAATTATGGTCCTCATGTCTGGGGACGTCCCCAGAGTCAAGATCCTCCAAGTATCCGTGTCTAGATGCAACTGCATGGCTCATTTAATATTTCTGATTAGAATAAACATAACATTTTCCATGCAATCTGCCTCTGGTGCTTCTTAAATGAAGCTGTCCTTCCCCGAGGGAAATTCACATCTGCTTGTGATAATTTTTTCAATGGTTTGCTTGTTGGACTCCATATTGAACCTACTTAAAGAGCTGTAGTCACCAAATGGTTTCAAGAGAGTATGACTGAGTTGTTTTTTTGGATTGTTTCCCTCCCCCCCCCCCTTCCTGAGTATCTGAGAAAGTCAAGTCTTGTAACTGAAAGGGAAAAAGCCCAGATACTTCTTGGGGGTCTGGGGAGGGAGGGCAGTAGTAGGACAGAGGGTGTTCCAGGTAACGAGAAGGGCTGTTGTTAGATGCAGGGAAACGTGATCCCCCTAATGAAATCACTGTGGCTGGAGTCCACACTGGGTCTGAGTTCTGGATGGGAAACGGGCCCCTCAAGCCAAGGACCTCTGGTTTGCCAAGTGCTGTTACCTTTGAGCGTAAGGAAGGCTGGGGATTGAATTCTTCATCTGCAGAGGAGGAGGTGGTAGAAGAGAGGGAGGAGACAGCCTCTGCCCCCTGTGCGCCAATGGGGATGTGGCTGGGCCCTGGAATTGGAAGAGAAAGACTCACTGAACTGTTAGGACATTCTCCACTTCACAACCCAAAGCTGCCTCTCCATCCCCGTCTCCCCCACCTCCTCCTCGCTGCCCACCACCCCTCATTGCACCTGCCATGAGCATGAGAAGGCAGTACCTAAGGGCGACTGGAAATTTGGCTCTCTGCATTAATTACTTTTCTGGGTCCCTGCCAAGAGCTTTGCAGCTCTCTTTTCATAATTTTTTTAAAAGGGACAAGGTATTATGAAGAAATCAATTAATTCTTTAAACACCATTTATATGGTGTGTTGCTTAGAATGCATTCAGAGATGAAATCTATTATTAACATGCATGTCTGAAGTTAGCGGAGTTACCTAAATGCTTGTGTTAAGGTTCACTCTGCAGAGTAATTGAATGCAAAAAAAAAAAAAAAGTCGGAGCCAGCTCTTAAACAAATCGCCCTTCTGCAGCTCACAGCATCTGGCACCCATTTTTACTACATGACATCTGCTCAGTGTAAAGGAGCTGGCGTCAGAATGTCTGGTCATAGGGAAAAAAAAATCCCAAATGTAATCAGAAGCAAAAGGACTTTAAGCCTAAGGTTTTATCACATAGTCTCATGCAACATAAATATTTCATTAATTACAGCTAAACAAATGCCACTTTTATTTTCCCAACTTGCAGATATTATCACATCATCGAAGTGATGATTCAAATGCCAGGAACGGCAGTTTAAGATAGGGGTGGCTGAGCAAGGCAGGGCTCTGGGGAGAGCTGGAGACCAGGGGAGCCAGCCTCCTAACAGGAGAGGCGGGTGGTCCAGCGAGCACAGTGCCCATGTCAACCAGAACCTGTGCGCACTGGCTGGCGGCCAGGAGTGACAAGGTCTTCCACCAGCCACAGGAGGCTTTTACTCATCTCAGCAAGAACATCTGCCCCTACACATCAACCCAATGCAGAGTTGATGATTAATATCTGGACTAACCCACTCTGGACATTGAATAGCAGAATGGGCTAGGATGCCAGTGTAGGAAACTCAGGAATCTTTCCTCTGCCAAGGCAGCTTATATCTGAATGGAGATATGCGATGGATGGTGGAGCAGGCCAGAAGAAGCAATTCTTTTTTTTTTTTTTTTAGAAGAAGCAATTCTAACCTTCTCTCCAGCCTGTTTGTGCCTCCCTATAATTTTCAACTAAGCACCCAAGTGGGAGAGGCCAAGTTTTTAAAAATAAGGGTAATTTTAACCTCCAGGAGCTCATTTACATATGCTGTTATTCAAAGCAAAATAATGAAAGACATCTATGTAATAACACAGCCTCTCTAGGGAGGGAGCTAACTGTTTTCCACTTTAATTTGCCAGATGGGAAAGCTCAGGTAAAGACAGGACCAGAGAACAGCATGATAATGTGAGGAGGTCTGGGGAGGGGTGGGCCGAGAGTGTTTGCCAGCTCCACTCTCTAAATTATTACTGCATGATATAGTTACTGAATACCCCTGGGTGGTGCAGTTAGTATGCTCAGCTGCTAACTGAAAGGTTGGTGGGTTCAAGTCTACTCAGAAGCTCATAGCTAAAAAAAAAACCAAACCAAACCAAACAAAACAACAACAACAACAACAACCACCAAAAAAGATGATTTACTTCCAAAAGCCTCAGCCACCAAAAACTCTACAGAGCATGTTCAACCCTAATATGTAAGGGATGACTCTGTGTCAGAATGGATTTGATGACAACTGGTAAGATCCAATAATTGAATGCTTATTTCTTGGTTGTGTGAGCTTGGAGGACTAACTTCACCTCCTGAATTTCTGGAGAATCATGACTTCTAATTTCCAGAACTGCTGTAGAAGAATGAAGATCATCAAAGTCAAGTGCCAAGGGCCTGGTCTACTGCAGGTTATAATAAACGCTGCTGTCATGATCATCATTATCTTCATTGGCAGCCCTGAGCTAAATGAACAATATTGCAGCCTTTTCCTTTTCTCATTTTATAATTAATCTCCATTTTATAGACTAAGTAAAAGAATTTAGAGACTTTTCCCTAATGAGCTCAAGAATCAAGCTAACACTGACACTGAGTTGCATTCCAAAATAGGAGAAAATGTTCCCAAATGTAACGTAGTCCTTAAATGTCACTCAAGAAAGATGTTAAAACAGCTGTCTCTGAGTTTATTCCCCTTTACCCACTCCATCTTGAAACCATAAGCTGTGATTCACTTTTCATTTGCAAAATTTAAAAGATATAACAGTGTTCTTCCAGTGTGGTCATGCTGGCGTGGCTGATATTGGAATTTTATCTCTCAAAGCAAAGAACTAAAAATTTGGACAAAATACATGAAGCAGCTGTTTGCAGTCACTGTACAACAGGCAGTGCAGAGCTGTGACAGAGGAAAGGACAGAGCCACAGGAGGTGAGTACTACAGTCATCCCGGCTTTCTGCCCTGGGGCCATTTCCAGATCACAACAGTGAAGTGGGGACAACTCAGTCAGACCAAACACATTCACTGGGTGAAGATGACAGAGTTCAATATTTGAGGAAGCAGATGGAATTTTATGGGCAGAGCACTGAAGGCGAAGGATCTGCGCAGATAAAGAAATCTAGAAATTTGTATAGGAGTCCCCTTGAGATTAGATCTTAAGAGTAAATGATACATCCAATAAAGGGAGACTCCACTATGTGTGACAAATAACTTCCAGTGCAACTATATGACTAATTCTCCAAAGCCTTTATAGGGTTTGTCCATGTTTTATTCCATGAAAACTAAATAATGGTAGCACTGAAAGTTATCAAAGAAGAATCACAGTTCAGTACACCTCCAAAAAGAAATTCCTTGCCATCAAGTCAGAACTGACTCATAGTTGATCCTCCAGTGGGTTTCCGAGCTTATTAACTGCAAAGAGGAGACGGCTCATCTTCTGAAGTAGCTGCTAGTGGATTTCAACCACCAGCACGCAGCTTTTGACTTAATAGTACAACTCTCTATAAGGCACCAGAGAAGTAAGGACAAATGAAATTCAGAGTGGAAGTTATTCTAGACTCATCTGAATAAAATGTAAAAGCAAGCACTGAAATGAACAAGTTAACTTGCAAGTTACTTTAGTGACTACCAAATGCTCTTTGCCATCCTGTTAACATTGCTGAAATGGAGACAAAAAATCTAGGTACGCTAGGATGTAAAGCTCACAGTCTAGCAGTCAAGAAACAATTACTTGTGTCTTTATGCCTGGCTGGGAAAAATAAAAGCAAGACAAAGAGTGAGGTAATTAAGAGAAGGATCAGTCAATAAAAAGAGACCCAGATTAGCAAGCAAAGCTTTTTTAATTTATTTTCAAAGATTTAAAAATGTTGTTCTTTGTGCTATTAAGTTGGGGTTGACTCACAGCTGACCCTCCAACAGGTTTTCAAAGGCTTTAAATTACATAGGAGGAGACTGTCCACCTTTCTGCTGCTGAGCAGCTGGTGGATTCGAACCACATGCCTTAGGGGCAACATTACAGCTTCATACCACTAGGCCAGTAGAGTTCCTTGAGACTTAAAAAATAGCTCTATAAAATATGCTAAAAAATGTAAAAAAATAAGAATAAAGAGACAATAGAATATATGTAAAATAAATTAAAATTATCAAGATAAAAATTACAGAAACTGAAATTTAAAAAAAAAAAGTACTGGATCAACTTAAGAGTAGGTTAAATATTTCAGAAGGGGGCAATCAACAAAATAGGGAGTACTTAAAATTAAATTCAGAGAGAAAAAAATAATTACACAGTCTCAGTGACATGTGAGGCAATAGAAAGTAGTCTAAATATATGTATGTGGAGAGCCAGAAAGAGATAGAGGAAGGGAGGAACACAGATACTAGTTGAAGTAATAACTGCTGACAATCATCTAAAGTCAATGAAACCATACTCAAAGGAATCCTGATGCCATTGTGTAGTAAAAGGTAAATGGTGCAACTCAACCCAGCTTCTCTACA